TCATGTTTAATTTTGTAATCCATACAAATTGTAATCCATTTCAAATATTCACTGATGAGGTGTGACACATTTTCATCCTTTTCTTGGCAGAGTAGACATTTGCTGTTTGCACTAATTCCTTGAACCTAAACTTTCATCACATTATTTTGGAGTGCTTGTTCTTGCACAGCAAAAATTAACCCTTTTGTTTCTTTCTTAATGGTTCCCAGTTTTAGCCATGCCCATGTTGAATTATGATCATGCCTTCCATCAATATTTCTCAGATGTTGTCCACGTAATGGTTTATTTTCCAACTCTTTAATTTATTTTCAAATTATTGTTTCCTATATTGAGACTTTGTTTCTGTTGTTTTTAAAATATTCTCAATTTTCACTGTCTTAAGTAATACTTCTCTGCTTGTACTGATATAATCATTTAGGCTTCTTTCTCCCCTCCTCTACTAACTGCTGCATTGGCAGTAATCCACGGCCTCCAGTTTTTCATAGTAAGTATAATCTGTCCACATCACTTTTTGGATGTAGTACGTGATGCATGTTCATTAGTTTCTGTGTTTTTCAATCCAATTGTTCTAATTCATTTTGAGTTTAATCTATTATTCCAGGTGGGTATCTAATTACTGGAACTGCCCATGTGTTTATGGCTTTGATTGTATTTCCACAATTTAACTTTGATTTTAAGATTTTCTGCAGTCTTTTGATGTATTCCCTTTCTGTCAGTTCTTTAACTTTTGTGTGCAGGATGTTATCTGCTTCTACTATTCCAAGGTATTAATAATTTTCATCACTTGATAGTGATTTTATAAGATCACCATTTAAAAACACTATTCCATCTAGTTTTAGGATCTTGCCATGATTTATTGATGGAGCTACACTTTTGTCAATTCCAAATTTCATTTTAATAACTTCATTAAATATTTGCACTGTGTTTATCTCTGTGGAACTTTTTGAATATAGTTTTAGGTCATCCATGTATAACAGATGATTAATTTTTCCTGCTTGTTCTGAAATATGGTAGCCCAATCCAGTTTTGTTTAAAATTATTGACATGGGGACTAGTGAGATGTTAAACAGCAGTGGTGACAAAGAATCCCCTTGACCTATTCCTCTTTTGATACTAACTTCAACAATTTTTTCAACATACACCATTAAGACAGTTTTCTATGTTTTCCATGGTTTTTTTTTACTGATTTCTGAATATTTTTACTAATCTCAAACATTTAGGCAGGTGTTAATCCAGCTGTGTGGCAATGAGTCAAATGCCTTTTTATAGTTTATCCAGGCCATGTTAAGGTTTGTTTTTTTGTCTTTTTGCATTCTTCAGGATCATTTTATTAATAAGCAGCTGCTCTTTTGTGCCTCTTGACTTCTTGAAGTTCCCTTTCTGTTCAGTTGGATATAGGGAGTTTTCAGTTAAGTAATTATATATTGATCTTGCAAGTACTCCTGTGAGGAGCCTGAACATCGTTGGAAGGCATGTAATTGGTCAGTAATTACTGGGTTCATGGCTCTTTGGATTATGTTTTATTATCAGAAATGTGTGGCCTGTTCTCATCCAATCTTCGGTTATAGAATTTTGAAATAAGTGCTTAAGTTGTACTGTTATACATTGATGATGACTTGTTAGGTGCTTTAACCAAAATCTGTTCAGCTCATCTGGACCCAGGTGCAGCTCATCACTCCAGTTTTTCACAGCCTTTACTGGTCTCTTAATCTTTTCAGTTTTTATAACAATATCACCCATATGTTTCCCTTGAGTATCTTTACACATGTTTTTAATCCATTAGCTGTTTTTTTTTTACTTTCCCAAATTTTAGAGCATCATTTTTACATGGGCCGAGTTTTGTTAGCTCTGTATTTTCTCCTAGTGATGTAAATAATAATTGTTGGTTATTTTGAACTTGCATGTTTTCTCTATATTGTTTCAAGCATCCATCATATCTTTCAATTTTCTTTGACGTAGCTGTCATGCCCTGTTTTAATTCTTCCATAGTTTCAACAATTGTTTTCCTTTCTAGTTCATATAATCTGACCTTTACTCTTTCATTTTTAAGTTTTGAATCTTTTGATCTTTTCCCATCAATTGCACAATGCAGTCAGAGATCTGAATCAATCTAGAATCCCCATATCCCCAATCCCTAGCTTTTCCTCCTCTTAAGAGACTCTTCTACTTTTAAAAAAAGTCAAATCCTTTTGCTTTGGTTCAAATATGTTATAGTTTGAACTAATATTGCACGTGCGCGTACACACACACACACACACACACACACACACACACACACACAAGGCAATGCCAGGACAAACTTTCCCAGCAAATCCTCTCTCTTAGATGCTATTTTGTTTAATTTTTAAGCTTTTCCTCCTGGGCAGCACTCCTGTCTGTTTTATTTTATTTCTATTTTTTAACAGCTTAACTAACAAATCTGTGAGCTGGAAGCTAACAAAATAAAAAAACCTACATTTTTTCATTGCCTATTGATGCAGTTCTTTGAACAGTACCACCTGTAGAGATGTAAGAAGGGCTGCAAGCATTTTGATTTAATCATGGCCACTTACATTGAAAAAAACTCAGACTCTCTGCTGCAACTTTACAGAGAGGGAATGTGGGTGACTTCACATTTCCCTCGCTGTGTAGTCACACCCTGAGTGCTTTTTGGTTCCTGACCACAATTAACAGAGAAGGCCATTCCCCATCCCTCTCTGGATTGAACTCCATTTCCCAAAACAATGGCCACTCACCACTCCCACTGCAAGTTGTTGATTTTATTGGTGCTGGCTCACTCTGTCCTCCAAGTAAAAGCTAACAGACAGAACCTTGAACAAGTTGCGGGAAGACCATACATGGATGCTAACATCTGCCCTTTCCCCCTCATTGCATACTGGACAAACGTTAAGCATTACCTGTGGACCTCCTACAACCACCACTTTTGTTTCTGGACATACTCATTGCTGCTCTATAAACCTCAATAATCAATCATGTAAAGATAATGTGGATTTTTTAATCCTCCCCCCCCCCAAAAAAAGCTTACCCCTGGACTGCATGACTTTTCCTTCTGATTCAGCAGTGTGCCTCATATGTTATTTTGTAGCTTTCCTGTGGCTGCCGCACAATTTTCTCTTATCCAGTTCTGGCCTCAGGTATTATCATTCTGTGACATCAAGTTGGAACTGACTGATGACAACCCGAATAAGGTTTTCAAGGTACTTGAGGTATTTGAGGAGTGGTTTTACCAGTTCCATCCCCATTGAATTTCTATGGCAGAGCCAGGGAATTGAATCCAGATCCCTGAATCCTAGTCCCTCACTCTATGCACTATGCCATATTGGCTACCCATTTCCCATTTAGTGCATGCTAACATCTCACCGCCATGCCTTCACAGAATGGGAATTCCATCACTTTATGGTTATCAAAGCCCGTATGTGAGGCCAGAGGATGAATATTTCTAACTGCCATTGCTCTGATCAGAGAAAAAGGAGAAGTACTGAATACACCTCCATTACGCCGCTTCTTCTAGTGCTAAGCAAGCATCTTATCCCTCCTCCTTTTGCTCCCATGTATTTTTTCCTCCCTGTTGACCATTAATTTTCAGTGTGTGTGGCTTTGGGCATGCTGCACAGTCCCAGAATGCTCCCAGAAGAACAGAATGGCAAACTGCTTCTGAGCACTCTCTACTTTTTAAAACCCTGGGTTACCATAAGTCAGAATTGACTTGAAGGCACACACACACAAAGCCTTATTTGTAAAATTATCTTATAATATACATGGTAAACCACTCTTGGGGGGCTTTTTTGTGCAAGAGTAGGGTATAAATGCAATAGATAAGCAAATAAACGACAGGTGCTCTCATAATTTTGGGTTTCTATACCTTAAAAATGGGAGCTCTCCAAAGAGCAAAACCCACCATTTTTTTCTATAGGGCAGTAATCTTGCTTCTCTCATTCTCATATGTAAAGATTTAGAATGCCTACATTCTTTTCCTTGCAAACTAGGACAGCAAGCATTGTTAAGATAGTTCTTGCACTAGCAAGCATTCTGCTTTGCACAAATTGCCAACTGACTTTTGTACACTGGGCAATGTTTATAAATTGCCTGCTTTGTTATAAATTGGCTGCTTTGTTTCATGGACATTAAGAATCTAAAGAACTGGTTGGATTCTTGAGTTTGTTTTCATTTTTTATTTATTTTTCACAATCAGTTTGACCTCCTGTGCTGATGTGGGTGCTTTACTTCTCAAAGGGAAAAACACAGTTTTGCACTGATACATATTGCACATGTTAGGGAGAATGGGGGTGGGAGGAGAAATGTGCTTGGTCTCACTCTCAGGTAGAGGCAGAGGTTATTTTCACTGAGATACGAAGATATTCTAAAATGACCAGAACAAGGCATTTAATAGGTATTCTTCATATCTCTAGTTTTCTGTACCAAATCCACCAGGCAAAGATAGGCCAAGGTCACATTTTATATATATATGTATATATAAAAAATGTTTTTTACCCAGTTTTTCTCCTAAAAAAGAGCCAAGGTAGCTTACATCACTGAAAGACAATGTTTAAAAGCTAAGCACAGTAAATTTATGTTGTAACTTTGGAGTGGAAGAAAAAAGCCAACTTAAACCCCACCACTACCACCGTTTAAACATCGAGCTGCAGATGATCCGGGTTTCCTCGAGGTTTCTGCCATTATCATTTCAGATATTAATGTATTAATGTTTTGTTATTTTGTTACTCTGTTGTTTTTCGTTATTTGTTATAAACCACCCAGAGTGGCTTTGGCTGTCAGATGGGTGGTATATAAATCAAATAAATAAATAAGATATTCCATGGCTGCCCTGTAATCAGAATGACAGCTTCCAGCATAGCTTCCAGCATAACTGCTTCCCAAGGAGGCCCTGTGAAATGTGACCCCAGGCACATTATCCTTTAGAAGGGAATTCTAAAAGCCTCCACAAGAGGGCCTTCTCATAATTAGTCTGGATTTTTTTAAAAAAGATATATATTTTATTTATGTTTACAATTTATGCCTTGCTCTCCAAACCCCAGGAAGTGGTTACAACAGAAACTAAACTATATGGAGAAGATTTACATTTTATTCTAAAGACTTAAGAACAGGTTGAAAAAAAAGAAGTATGCATCATTTGCATGTTGCACTTTGTCCTTCTCCTGGTGCTCTCTCTCCTTCTGAGGATATTATTTGCTCTCTCTCCTTCTGAGGATATTATTTTGCTTGTCCTTACTGTACAGTCATTATCTCTGTGGATTTCACATCATCGCTTTCATTCTGGAATTTGTACTGCACTGAGCTTGGTAGCAACACTGTCACCATCAGCTGTTCATACCATCATGAAAGTATCTTTGTCCTGCCCCTGAATGCTTGGACTCCACATATGATTTATGTCTTCTTTTGCCACCTGGTTTGTCATAAGGCCCCCTTTCTTGCCCTGCTATAGCAAACTTATCTTTAGATCTCCTCACACTTCTGTGTCTCTCTGAACAGTGATCCTGGCCTTTAGAAACACTTCCTTGGTCAAGCAGGAGTTTGCTTTCTGGAGAGAAAAAAGGTCTCTCTCTGATGCTAACCAATGTTTTCGGACTGGAAACTCTGGTTGTCTCACCCATTCTGCCCAAGGGTTCTTCATACCTGTACCTCTCGCAGTCTTGTTTGTAGTAGAGACTGTTCCAATTGGGTTCACTGTATACTCTGTCTCTAGCACATTCATAATCTTTGCTTCGTAGCTTTCTGAAATGATGAGCTTTCCGAGTCTTTCCCTTGTTTATATCTCTGGCTACAATGTTCTCACTTCGTAAGGACAGAGTTGTCTTGCAGAACAAGCTCCCATCGCTTGATTTTGCTTTCCTTTGCTCTCTTCTAACTCTTCCCTCTCTTGAGGAGTTTCCATATCCCCTCCCTTCTTGTGAATGTCGCCTTCTACTCTTTTTGCCAGATCTTTCTTTGGGGGCAGTGTAGCCTTCCTCAAAACTGCATTTGGTAACTCTTGTTCCATCTATTTCAAACACAGTCTTTCTGCCAGCAGAAGATGTTATCATCCTCTCTGAAGACCTTCTGAAATGATTTGTAGGAAAATCAAGACATTGCCATTTGGTCGGTTCTTGACTTGTGGCAGTTTGGATAGTGTCGAATTCAGCAACATTGCTGTGGTTACAATTAAGTGCCACATAATCTCCAGATGCTAATATATTTGAGACGCTGTAGGCTTCAAGATCTTTTGAGTGGTGACTCCGAACAGGATGCGATTCTCCAGTGTCTTCATTTTCCTTCACATATTGAAGCATCTGGGTGTGACAGAACAACCCTGCGGGGTGTGCTTTTTTAGTTCGTTGCAACACCTTCAGTTTGTTCTTTGTGAAAACATCTGCTGTGTGGACCTCCTGCTCAGGATCACTCTCAGACACGTCTTCCGCGTTATTTCCTTCGCTCTTAGAATGATTCGGACCATCAGCTGCAGTAAATAAAGTGGTAAGATCTCTCTCTGAACTGGACTGCAAGGGTTCCTGTTTTCTGTCATCTGGATTACTATTACCTTTGGCTCTCTGATCATTAGAAGGTGGTCGAGGACACTCATCGTCTGATGATGCAGAAGGGAATAAAGCATCAGACTCTTCCCTCCTTAGAGGAGGGCATTCATAAGAAGCATGCCAATCGTACTTCTTCATGCTAAACGGTGACTGTGCGAAACTGATGAACTCATGCAAGAAGTGGGTTGTGAAGTGGCGCAAGTGAGGCTGCAACAAGGCTTCAAACTCCTTGCTCTGCAGATCATGCTGAGCCATGTTTTTCAGGATGAAGCCCTGTAAAGTATGAACCAGGGGCCTCTGATTACCACAGAGAACTTTTAATTCTCGTCTCAACCATGGGATTAATCTGTCAAAGCAGCTGGGGTTTTGGGCAAAATATTCAGCCGAAGCAATTCGGTTGACATTTGGATTCTGAGTATTTTGAACCAGGATCCCACCAAGGTATAGAGCTCTCCTGAAATGAAGAACTGCTTGGGCTTTAAATTTCCCGAGGCTTATAGCCTTCGCAGGTCTCTTTGTTGCTGTAAACTGCCTCATGAGCTGATAAATCTCATTTTCCCTTTGAGTTAGCTTTCCTGTAATATCATCCTGCACGATGCCATTGTCAGGAGGCGAAGACACCCTTTGAGAGGAAGCTGATGTGTGACCTTCCTTGCTTTTGGAATGAGAAAAGGGACGGTCTTTCAAGGGCAGAACATATCCATAAGATGCCCCCTTTCCACGTACAGCGTGGTAGAACGAGTGGAAGTGCTGCTTACACAGTGGACACACTGCTTTCTTTTTGGACCATGTCTGTACACAGTCAAAGCAGAACCTGTGTTTGCAGGGGTTTAAATAGGTCATGTCTTGGATTCTTTCTAAACAGATGGCACATTTTGCATGCTTTACTGTCTCCATCGGTATTATCTTGATGAAGGAACTCCTGCCTGTGGATGTGAAGCCAGCCCTTGGTTTTAGTTCTTTATGCAGGGGTCTCATGATCTGAAAAGAAAGCACACAGAAGGCTTACCATAGATAGCACAACATTTCCCTCCCCACCAAAGAATGATGGCTTCATAATATTGCTGAAATTCAGTTGGAAAACATGGGCTGGATTAGGAGAATGAAAAATATGTGAGGAACAGGTGGCTTGAGATATGGACAAGGGACAGCCAGCTGCCACCACTACCTAAGTTTTTGAGGACAAATGTGTCTACTCAGTTCACAACCCACTTACCAATGTCATGGACTTTTTACTCCAATCTACCTGGGGCTAACTTGGAATGGAAACAAATAAATCCGTGATGATGCAAAACAAATCAATTTGTAATTGTAACGTAAAGACAATTCTGTGCAACCTTTGCCCTTTGGTAAGGCCTACATCGGCTTACTTCATCTTTTGATGTCATTAGACTGAACTTTTGCCAGTTTGTCACACAATTTTAGCTGAAATTTTAGGTGAAAATAGAGTCAGGATGCAAAGAAATTTGGGGAGACACTCAACACAATGTTGCTGATGTTAGAAGACCTTTTATTTGTTTATTTGTTTGTTTATTTATTTTCCTACGAGAACTTCAATGACATCATGACTATGCTAAGTTTATAACTCCATGAAATTAAATCACACACTTTCTGCCCAACAGGTAGAGACATATGTAATGTCAGTGATATGTTTGCTCATCTAATTTTGGGATAACACTGTTAAAATCTCGTCATCATTATAATACACATTATGCCCAAGTGGAAACTACTCTGAGCTTACAGGAATCGCACTTCTTCCCCTATATTTCCCATCTTCAGTTTTGCCTAGTCCCCCATAGGAAGCTTACCTCCTCCAACCTATTCTTCTTCATAGCACTACTGATTTGCATTGGTGGTTCTTTTGCCCATAGAAACAAAACTCAAGGTGGGTAAACAGAACCCAGTGGATGTTCTAGTTGTGACCTCACAGCACAGGCAAGTAGAGCCAGTTCCTTTTTCATTGCACAATCTTGTATTCCATCAATCACTTTACTTCCTGTGTGGAAAATTTTCAAACAATAGTTCTATTCCTGTTACCAGTGCACCATGCACAGGCAGCTAAAGCTTTCCATACATGTCGGTACTGGTAGTGCTATATGAGGGTTTGCTCAAGATTTAGCAGACCACAAAAGGAAGAACTCAGTTTTATTGAAGATGTGTTTTATGGACCAGTCCACAAGTTTTCACTGCAATGCCACTTCAATGGCCCAGAAGGCTTTTAGGATAAAACTGTCTTACTAACAAGGTTCCAATCACAGCTAGGAGATATTAAAGGCTTTTAGGATAAAACTGTCTTACTAACGAGGTTCCAATCACAGCTAGGATATATTAATATTAGGTGTGAGATTTTCAGTTGTTTTTTTTTCACTAGATGACCCCATGGACCAGAGCACGCCAGGCCCTCCTGTCTTCTACTGCCTCCCGGAGTTGTGTCAGGTTCATGTTGCTTGCCCCCGGTGTGGGATTTTCAGTTGTTGTTTTTTCACTAGACGTACCACAGTTGAACATAAATGTGGCACCTGTGGCCAAAAAAAAAATCCAAATCCTTAGAGGCATTTCAGTGCACACCTGAGGCTGAGAATGTCCTTATCTATGGTCATTGCAGAGGGAGAGATTGGGTGGGACTTGCTAAAGTAAACTAGAAGGAGAATTACAAGGGACTGTAGAAGCAGGAGTTTTTTGAGAGCCACCATATGCAAAGCCTAATGAACAGAGAGAGACTACCCATTCCACAACTTCTTGTAGTAGAATTGGTAGACAGAAGTGCTGAGAGGCACTCATGCCAGGAAGGTTCCATAGCCATCACCATAATGGACTCTTCTGGCTTTACTCACTCCAGGATAAACAAGGTAGTATGGCTGAGCGGACAAAGAAGAACCCCTGAACCCAGTAACCCTCACAGTATTTACAACCCCTCCTTCTGACTCAGGTTTTCATGCTACAGAAGGCCCCTCTGCAGGAGGTGGGAGGTTACAGTTTAAATGTCCAGTAAAGCTACAGCCCTACTGAAATCCATCAACTGTGTTTCATCCAGGCTGGGTGGACAAGTATTTTCAAGGTGGCATCATCTTCCACATGTCCATCTTGTAGATTATAACACATTTGAAATATCAAAACCAATCAAAATGCAATGCCTTTCTTGATGGTTCAGATGTGTAGAATTGCTGCCTAAGCTATTACAGCCGTAACTGTGCTGAGTATGCCAAGCCTTGATAGGGGCTGGCTGAAGCAATCGCTGACTTCTTCTTATTTCTAAAAGAAAACAAAGTACACAGTGCCACAAAAGTACCTGCACTTGTTACTACACAAAAGAAGTTAATGGCAATACAAGCAGAGGTGGCTAATGGTATTGAAGAATGATTTCCAAACTCTAAGAAAACAAGAAGAAAAACAGTGCAATGCTTCTAAGATTAACACATTTATAAAAATAATCTTAGAACTGCAAAGCTGGAAGGGACCTACGGATCATGAAGCCCAGCCATTGTCAGAGAGTCACTGTGGGGAATCAAACTCCCATACCCAAACCACTGAGCCATCCAGCAGTTAGCTCAGTTATTTTACTGTAAGTATTTGTGGATTACAATCCACATTATCCCAAATAAGGAGTAACACGGAGTACAATAATAAGGTTGCAGGAACACAGGATGCAAGGATGTGGAGAGGAGAGCCAAGTGAAATGGGATAGAGAAAGTGACATTTGCATATTGAATGGTAGTACAGTGGTGCCTTGCTTAACGATGTTAATTCGTTCCAGCAAAATCGCTGTAGAGCGAAAACATCATAAAGCAAAAAACAAACAAACCCAACAACAACAACAACAAAAACATTGAAATGCATTAAAACCCGGTTAATGTGTTCCACTGGGCTAAAAACTCACGGTCTAGCGAAGATCCTCCATACGGTGGCCATTTTTGGTCCCTGTCTAGCGAGGAATCCATACTAGAAAACAGCGGGGGGCCATTTTCTTCAGCCGGTGGCCATTTTGGAACCCGACGATCAGCTGTTCGCTGATCGTCGTAATGCGAACAATCGGTTCCCAAAGCAGGGAACTGATCATCGCACAGTGGATTTTGCCCATAGGAAGCATTGTTTTGCGGTCACTTTTGCGACCGCAAAAAAGGCATTGTTAAGTGGATTCATCATTATATGGGGCAATCATAAAGTGAGGCATGACTGTAGTGAACTTTCAAAGCTACAATGACTTAGATATCTGTGCTTTGGAGCCAGAGGTTGGGAGTTTGATTCCCCTCTGTGCCTTCTTCAGATGGACTGTACTCATTGATCCATAGGTCCTTTCCAGCTCTGTCATTCTAAAAGTATTATTAGATTATGATTATTATAAATTTAGTTGATTACATAAACATCCTGGCATCAGGTCTAGCAACCAATGTGCCTGTCAGCTGGTAAACAATGCTAGGCTGTTGCTTTTGAAGTGTGGATGTCAGTGATTTTTGTTTCCATAACATAGATGGCTGAAGCCTGAGATTTGCCAACTTTTGGGCTATACATAACACTATAAAGAACACTTTTTTAGCGGGATGGATCTTTCACATTTAGATAGCAGGAAAGACAAACAGAAAAGAAACTATCCTTTTTGTGTTCTTTTGTTGATTTCCCAAAAAAGAGATTATTCAGCACGAATGTATTTATGAAAGAGGGGTATGTGAAAATTTCATTTCATGTATGTTTCTCTTTTTATTTAATGTTTTTTTCCCTTTTGACTGTCAAATCACCCAGGAAATTTTTCATCCAATAGTGTGTGTGTGTGGGGGGAGCTGGCAGAGAGGCAGCCACCTGAAGAAAAAATGTCAGAAATTTTAGCAATAATTATACAAAATGATATTGTGTTTGTAGAGGAATAAGAAATGTTTCTTCAAAAGGAGTCTCCTAAGAAATTCTGCCTTAAAATTTAGCTTTTGGGGGGACAATACACTATCTAGGGGGATTCTCAGTGTGGTGTAGTGGATAGAGTGATGGACTAGGATTCTAGAGACCAGGGTTTGAATCCCCACTTGGGCATGGAAACCCACTGAGGGAGTGGAAGTGGTAAAACCACACCTTTAGTATCTCATTTACCTTGAAAGCCCTATTACTATAAGTCAATTTTGAACACAGACACACACAAAATCTCCAGGCCTTTCTTGTAAAGAGTCATTGTAGATATATTTCATTTCTACTATGGATGGTTAGAATGTATCTCCTTCGATGGCAGTGTTGGATCCATCTCCAAGAAAAATATGAATCTAGCACGATGCATGCCCCTCTCATTTCTGAAATGTTTTATTTATCCACACAAGAGGCTTCCATTTTTCCTCCACATTTCCAGAAGCCCTTTAGAATTTCTTTCATTTATGTTTTTTGCTTTTCCGGAACATAGCAGGGTAGCCCAAGGTGATGCATTGGTTATGTTTCTAATATTTGCATGATGTTAGAGGAATTGTGGACATTTCTGGAGCTCATTGAGGCTAGGTGTCAGGTGAACAGATCAGGTGCACAATCAGGCATGTGACCAACATGAGATCACCTCCTCATTATTACTTGCAATAATTTTTTGTGATTCCTTGGGTTTAAATGTCCAGTCAGATCCAGCCAATATTTGTAAGACAAAAAAAAATTATACAAGAATAGTTAAAAAAACACCCTCTTTCTCGAAATTTTGGGCATAATGCTAACTCCTATGATTGTCATATGATAAACAGGCCTCAGAAGAGGACACAAAAGTATTTATTGCTGGAGGTTTTTGGCCAACTTCACATGCTGCCTCTAGTACCTGTGGCTGGGAGAGATCTTTCTGGACTGGGTGACTGTCAGTTACTAACAGCACTGACCAATAGTTCACCCCATGTCTCTGATTCAAGGAGAGCTCTGCCTCTCTTGTCCCTCTCCATAGTCCATTAGAAGTGGTCAATTTGTTGAAACTTGTTGCTGAAACTCAGATAGACATGTTTTGTTTGCTTGCTGTAAATCTGTTCAGAACTGTAAGTAAATGAAACCTTTTATTCTTTCTCCCACTAATGTCACAGAGCGGGTTATTGAGACTACAAGTGCCAGTGGGTGAGAAAAAGGAATGGACTAAACTGCGGAACTTGAAGGCAATCTACTCTCTGAGTCTCTGCACTTCTGCTGTACAGCTTGAGGAATGTAACCAAAATTCAAAACTCTGCAACATGTATTAAGTAATCATTAAAAAAACTTTTGGGCACTGAAAGCTTTAAAGCATGTCACTTGGCTTAATTCAATACCCTGCTTGTGTTTGCTGAAACTGATTTCACCCTCTGGAATGGAGATACTGTAATCCCTTTCCAAATGTGCCTCCAATGAACTGTTTGCTGCTTCAAGGATGATGGATATTTCTGATCAGTCTGACTTCATGGAGAGGTTAATGCAGCCTTCTGTTCTGATTACATGTTAAAGCTGCCATATTTACTTGAGGGTGGACTTTAGATCCTCATGAACAGTGATGTTTGTGGGATTGACATCTTAAGTCTAGGGTGGAACATTTGGGCAGACCTATAAAAGAACCAGAAATCCAGGTGGAATCCAAAACGAGGCACCAGTAAAACTTTGATCATGGACTGTATCAGGGGTGGAGCAAATTTGGCCCCAGAGCTGTTTCAGGCCAGAACATCAATCAACTCCTCCCAGCATGTTGAAAAGTGAGGATGATGAGAATTTCCCAAAACCTTTAGAGAGACAGAGGTCCTCTAGTCTTTTACTCATCCATAGAATGCAGATTTTTTCCCCTCTTCTGCACATCCATGATTCTAATGAATCTACCCTAAACAGAGGGAAAGTGAAATATCTTTGCCAAGCGTTCATTAGAATATGCGTGTATGGTTCATATAGCTTTCAAAAGAGTTGCCATCCATTGTCCCTCTAAATAATTATTTGTTATGTCCAAAATATAGGAACAACACCATTTTCCAATGGAAAAAAATAAACACGCAAGGACAGTTTTGAGATTCCTGCCATACTTCTGTTATGGATCCTCCCCTTCTGAAAGCCTTTAAGTAAGTTCTACAATGGTTTTTAGCCCACCTGTGTATTGCTGAAGACCAACACCTGGGTGCCATTATCATGCATTAACACATTTTGTTATATATACGAATTTATTGGATTGATCATAACAGGGAAGAGAGCCACTTAACAGGTTCCCTCATGATCTGCATATCAAGGTTTTCTGATACGTGAAGAATATCCACCATGCCGTTTACTAGGAGCATTGTTTGGTGGAAGAGAAGAGTGCATTTGTGTAGAGCTAACTGTTCCTTCAGATTTCCTTTCCAGCTCAACCAGATTACTTGTTCCTTTTTGTTTTTAACTCTATGTGTTCAATAACCAAAATGTCTTCTCTTTGGGGTTGGTAGCACCTCCATGAAAAAGAAATCCTCCTGTTCCTTCAGATTTCCTTTCCAGCTCAACTAGATTACTTGTTCCTTTTTGTTTTTACTCTATATGTTCAATAACCAAAATGTCTTCTCTTTTTCTCCATGAAAAAGAAATCCTCGTCTTTGGGATGGACCATCTCAGTTGTAACTTCATTCTGTTTCTGCAACAGTACCTGATCCATGTGATCTGTTTCTTGTTCTAGAAATGGAAGTTGTCAGCTTCGCGCTGCAATAATACACTTCTTCTGTAATAAGACATGTGTATTATACAAATATACAAACCGGCAGAACTTCGGCGTAGCAGGCAAACAATAGGCAAACTGGCATAGAGGATAGTAGCAAGAGAAAGAAGGAGAAGATACATTAATGTTCACACTGTTCACTTATATACAGTTACACAGCTTCTGTCCAATCACTGGAAGTATTACATCATCTTCTCCATGTGGATGTCACCTCTTCTCCAGGCATTGCATCCTCTTCTCCTCTGTCACAGTGACTCAGCAGTCACACAGCTGTTCATTATGGCAGCTCAATAATGTGACATTTAATACATGTTCAGGCCTATAAAATTACAATATCTTGACAGAAGTTGTAGACTACTGAGCATTTGATTACTGCTGGCAAGTTGATAAACACTGAAGTCAACTGAACTCATACTACTACGAGCACCCTTACCAAGGTTATGACTAGAGCGTTCACCCTAAGTTATGTGATAAGATAAGTAAAATTCATGAGTTATATGCTAATGTGGTTGAGAGGTGGGGCCTCAAGAGATGTTAAAGGGTGGAGCCTGAGAGGGAGTCAGAGAGTCTGAGTCAGATTTTGGAATCAGAGTGAGAGAAGGATAGTTTGGGGTCTGAGGAATGATTAGTAACCTGTGATATTTAATACAGAAGATTAATATTGATGCTTGGTGAAACTGAAAGAATATGCTTAGGAATTATCCTAAAAACCATCTGTAATCAATAAACCTGTTCTATTAAAAAGTCAGTACTGAATAGACCTTCATCTTTTCAAAGTAAAGTATGTTGAAAGGAGATCAACTGGTGGCAGCGTGTCAAGAGGTATTTTGGTTTGCCTTTGTGAGCTTGTGTTTGGGGAGACAAGCAGGGGGAATGAGGGGTGACCACCACAATTGGTGTCCAGCAGCGGGATACAAAACAATCCAGTAATGCCAGAGTTTAAAGGTGGATTTTTTGAGTTGTGGGTACCTTTTTAGTTAGAGGTCTGTGGTGAAGAAGTGGGTGACCTGCTAGAGCTTTTGTGGAAAAGCTTAGTGGCGGCCCTTCTGATCCCAGATCTGGGGGGACTAAAGATAGGGAATGATTCTAAAGGAAAATTTCCTGTTTATTTACGTCATGATTTGAGAGACCCGTGGCTAGCATAAGATCCAAGGCTTTGAGATAAGGGAGCACTGGTGGATAAAAGCAGAAACCAGAGATCCGAGCAGATCTGAGGAGATAGAAGAAAAAGCAGAGGTTAGAGATATAGAATTATTCCAGTGACTGGAATTAAAAGCAGAAAGACAGGTCCTTTTTAAAATCAGTACAAACACTCAAGATTAATTCTCTCAGAAGTAAACATGCCCCACAAACATAGCCAGAAGGGGAGTCATGAGGCAGAGTTTACCTCAAGAAATGGAGGGAAATGGAGACCCTTTAACTCCAATGGAACCAGAGGAAATTGATGACGGTGCCTCAGAAAGACAAAAGGATCTAAGCTCCCAGGCTTCCCCGGCGACAGAGGTCAGAGCAGTGGGAAGCCTCGGGAGGCCTCCCATGGTGGCTGTCACAGTGGCGGGGAAGTCCAGGCTTCCCTGGGAACAGCGGTCAGAGCGATGGGGAACCCTAAGAGGCCTCCCGCGGTGGTGGTCACAGCGGTGGGGAAGCCCGGGTTTCCCTGCCTTTTTCCTTTTGTAAGTGGAAGGTCCGGGGGCAAGTCAAACCAAAATTTTGCGGCTGGATCTTTCTGTAACTCACATTTTTCATAACTGGAGACGTCTGTAAGTCAAGGCACCACTGTGTGTTGTTTAAAATAGTATGTTGCACATTGTTGATCACTGAAGCATTTATACCACACAGCACTCGCAACTCATGTTTCAACCAGGGAACCAATCTACTGAGGTGTACAGGATTCTGGTGGAAAAAATCTGCAGATATATCCCTATAAAAACCTCCACTTCGGACATTCCCAACATGCACTCTAGACTGATAAAGGGCCCTCCTGAAATTAATTGTAATCTTGCCCAAGAGATATTCCTCCAAGGTGAAATGACCTTGTTAATCCATGTTGTCTCACCAGATCTTCCAGAATCCTCATCTTACATTGAGACGGGGGACTTGAGTATCCTTCATATAATATCCCATTATCTGGTCTCTCCCTATACATATCATAGGACACATTTTCAACAGGAATAATGTATTGTTCAAAATCAGTGTCAGATCTTATAGTGTGAAAGAGTGAAAATGCTTTTTACAGAGTGGACACTCTGCTTTTCTGTCTGACCATTCTAAGATACAAGTAAAACAGTATCTATGGAAGCAAGGATTTAGGAAAGGCAAATTCAGTTTTCTTTCAAAGCAGGTAGGACACCTTGAATCTGAAGGTCCATCTGATGATAAGGCAATGTTCTCATTTCCTATCCCATTCTGGGTAGTTGAAAAGCTGTTATCCAAATGAAGCTCTTCATTAGATGATGTCATAATCAGAAAGAAAGAAAGAAAAAGAGATTCTAGTTAGTATAAACACTTGAATATAATGCTTTTTAATGAAAGTTGATATAAGAGCAGATTAAGACGATGTTGCTATTTTTTTCTGGATTTAAAAATCAAATTAAATTGAACAATGGTATCTCTGAAACATCCCTCAAAATTTGTAGTACTTACCATTAGAGATGAACCATAATTTCCCAAAGGGCATTTCTCTCCCCCCCACCCAGAATATATGAGATTTTTGTTTTTCTGACCCCATCAATATAGGGTTATTTTGTAAAAGAGAAAACGAATATTGTTATAATCCACCCAGAGACCTTTGGGTAGAGTGGGCGGCATATAAGTTAAATAAAATAAATAAATAAAATAAATAATTCAGCAGTGGTGACCACCATTCCCCCACCACTGCCCTGGAATTATGCAAGATCTGGACTCAGGCCACTGTGGAGAATGCAAAATAGTGGTCATTCTGCCAACAATTGGTAGCTGCTGATGCCAATGGAAGCAAGAAAAAGGACCAAGGAGTAAAATAAATAAAATTTATAAAACTAAAAATAAAATTTTCTTGTTACTGCTCTTAATAAGGCTCTCCCCTAAATACCTGTTAAAGAATTTCTCCACCCCCAGGGGACATTCGGCAAAATAGTCCTCCTTCCCTAAATTACTCCAATATTAGATTGAAAACAAATCAGGTCAAATACAGGGAAGCTTTTAGTGGAAGCAATAAGATCCAGTGGAAGTACCTCAAGTACTACCCTGGCCATAAATATTGTCATAGTGGTCACAATAGTTTTGAAGTTCAGACAACAACAACAACAACAACAACAACAACAACAACAACAACAACAACAACAACAACAACAACAACAACAACAACAACAATCCATACTGGATCTCAGTTATCGCCCAGGTCAACAAGGACCATGTCAGATGTTATAGCCCCTCGGCATTTGGAGACAAATGGGCTAAAGAGCTCAGCAGACTCTGTTGAGGAGCCAGGACAAGCTGGCACAAAGCTACTGGAACAACATGAATGCAAAACTCCCGCCAAAAATCAAGAAATTATGAAATGTTATTACGAGGCAAACCTATCAGCCTGTGGTTTTCAAAAAAGAATGATGGAAACTTCAGCGAGGAAACACCCAATTAGTAACATACTGTATGTAACTGAACAACAATTAATGCACCAGAGAAGGTTTATCATCTGAAATAAAGCATTTCCAGAACTGAAATTGCAAGAACTAGAAAAGATGACAAAACACAAAGAATCCCTATTTTGCATCAATTACAAAGTAAAACAGTAAAAGATCTATTGACTCTAATGAATTATGCAAATGTAGTCATCAGAACAATCCCAACCGACATGCTAAAGGAAAGAAATCAGATTATGTATAGCATTGCTAGAATAATAACCATGGAACTTGGTTACAAGAAAGAAAGAAAGAAAGAAAGAAAGAAAGAAAGAAAGAAAGAAAGAAAGAAAGAAAGAAAGAAAGAAAGAAAGAAAGAAAGAAAGAAAGAAAGAAAGAAAGAAAGAAAGAAAGAAAAGAAAAGAAAAAGAAAGAAAAGAAAAGAAAAGAAAAGAAAAGAAAAACCAGAAAACTCCTGGCACTCCAAAATCGAAAATTCAGCTAGGAAAAAAAAGACGCTTGAACCAATATAGAGAAAACATGCAATTTCAAAATACCAACAGTTATTCTTCATTGGTTGTTCTGGGTTTTTCAGGCTCTTTGACTGTGTTCTGAAGGTTGTTCTTCAATTATTTTTTACATCACTAGGAGAAAATACAGAGCAAACAAAATCAGGTCCATATAAAAATGATGTTTTAAAACTTTGGAAAGAAATTTGGGAAAGTCAAACCAGACATAACAAGAATGTCTCATGGTTTAAAGCTATTTGTAAACAAACTCAAGGGAAACATATGGATGATATGGTGATAACAACTGAAAAGTAAAGGTTGTGAAAAATTGTAGTGCACCTGGTCCATGTGAACTGCATGGATTTTGATTAAAGTATTTAACTGGTCTCCATCAACATATAGCAGTGCAATTTAAGCACTTCAAAATTCTACAACTGAAGATTGGATGACAACAGGCCACACATTTCTGATAATAAAAGGGCAATGAACCGAGTAATTATTAACCAATTATATGCCTTTAAACAATGTTCAAACTCCTCACAGGGGTACTTGCAAAATCAATATATAATGATTTAATTGAAAACTCTCTATACTCAACTGACCAGAAAGGGAACTTTAAAAAGTCAAGAGGCACAAAAGATCAGGTGCTTATTGATAAAATGATACTAAAGAATGCAAAAAGACAAAAAAATCTTGCCACATAGCTGGATTAATACCTGTGGTTAAATTTTTGGGATTAGTAAAAATATTCAGAAATTCCTCAAGAAAACATAGAAAAATGGAAAGCTGTTTTAATGGCCTATGGCGAAGAACTTGGTGAAGTTAGAAGCAAATGAACATGCATTACACACTACATCCAAAAAGTGATGTGAATAGATTATATTTAACACAAAAAATCAGAGGCCATGATTTATCGCAAATACAGCAGGTAGTAGGAGAGTTTAAAAAAACCCTAAATGTACAAGCAGAGAAAAATTATTTAAGGCACTGAAAATGGAGAATATGTTTAAAAAAAAACAGAAACAAAGTCTCAGTATAAGAAACAACAATTTGAAAAACAACAACTGGAAAAATAAATCATTACATGGACAACACTTGAGAACTATTGATGGAAAGCATGATCATAATTCAACATGGGCATGGCTAAAACTGGGGACCACTAAGAAAGAAACCCAAGGCTTGATTTTTGCTGCACCAGAACAAGCACTCCAAACCAATGTGGAAGTCAAGACCTTATCAGATTTCCAGATCCAAACTGATAAATGTTAAACATAACACATCAGACATAGTAGTAATAGAATGGAGAAATATCTGCATTATTGACATTGCAATTGCAGGGGACACTAGAGTTGAGAACAAAAAATTGGAAAAACTAACAAAATACAGAGACCGGGCAATTGAAACATCTCACTTGTGTATGAAACACAGTTCAGAGGTCCATTTAGTCATTGGGGCTTCAAGAACAATATCAAGAAATTTCACACAGTGCTATAAGCAGTTGCAGATCTCAGAAATAACTCCAACAGAGTTACAAAAAACAGCAATATGAGGAACAGCATACATATAGCACTTAGGTTTTTGGTTAAAATTTGTATCTATTGTAATAATAGTCAATTTTTAAAATTATTTTGATTGACTGTGCTTGGTGTTTTTGAATAATAATGATAATAATAATAGAAATCACACCTGCCAGGCAGTCTGATCACATATATAAACTTCAATTATTGTAGCAGATATGGTATTTTGCCCTGCTACAGCTATCCCTGAAAAAAATGACCTACAGAACCTTTGCTCTTGTTATCAAGGGAAAGTGTAAAGCCCCAGTCATCCAGTCCTGCCAGAATACAGTTGAAATAAGAAGAGACTCAGCATGGATCAAAGAGACTTATATAAGAATTACTTCTATGTTCTGAAGGCTGCGTAGCATGGCTTTATTTCTGCATGCCATAGTGCTGGGCTTTTGCAATGATGTCCTCCTAACTGTTACGGCCAAACAGTAAAGTGACATAAAATCCAGTAACTGGTAGTATTCCTGGTGTGGACACCTGGGGTCGAACCAATAGATTTAGACTTGTTTGATACTTCATTTAGCCTTCATGTCTCAGTTTTGGGCAGAATTCAGCTGTTTCATTAACTGCGAACTGAGAGAAGGGTCTGTTTATTTCTCAGAGGTCACAATGCTCATCCTTTCTGTCTCTTAAACTGTATGTGGAAGACTCTTTTTTTGAAAGATGCTGAAAGATACAACTTAATAAAGGAAAGTCTCTGACCATATGAGAACTGCCATTTGGTAAGCACAGGGGAACCATTACTGTTAACTAAGGTCAAAACTTCAGGAAGCATCTGATTTCCAGCTAGTATTTCTGTCGGATCAGAAAACAAGCACTTGTTTCCATTAAGTCCCCAGTTCCTTTGACTGCCTGTCAAAAAAAGGGAAAAGAACCTCTGTCAGTTTCTATTTCTATTATTTTACAGTTGTTTAGGAAACAGAATTCCTCCTGGTGTCACCATCAAAAAGTCTTTACATCTGTCCAATCTACTATGAATGAGGGTTCCAGTGCCTCAGGACTCCACTGGAAATCTCAGGAAATTGCCATGCTTCCCTTTGTTCTCCAGGCAGGAGGAAAAAAAATCTGAGTGAGTGTGCTAAAAATGGAGAACATTTGATTCCTACCATGGGTGGTATCCTGGGTGCCCAATTGTTTCTCATGCCAAAGAGGGTGCCAGGGTTCAGTACCTCAGCACAAAAACATTTCTATGTAGGTTGGCAGCATATTTAGTAACAGATCTCTCTTTCTCTGTCTGTCTCTGTCTATCTCTGTTGCACTCACAGATACAATTTTGTGATTATTTTGAGTTATCCTATGTCCTAGATTTTGATACAGTAATGTGCTTTGGTTGACAATAATTGACCAAGGAATGATCCAGTCCCCAAGTTCATCATCTTTATTCTTCAACATAGGCTGCATTCATGGTTACCACATGTTTGAGTTTAAGGGAGATAGTCCTCAGAAGGATTAGCATGGTCTTCAACTTATTTGCAAGTCAGGTGTATTGCTAGGAAAAAAATGTTTTTTTTAATTGTCCATATGAATTGACATGCAATTTTTAGTGAAAATTGGTGTCTTCTTTTAAGTGCCCAGAGTAGATATGTTCTAGATGGGCGGTATATAAATCTAATAAATAAATAAATATTCTTTTGTCCTTTTTAGTGATATGGAAAGTGGCCATGCTAATATATGCTGGGAGTGTGAAAGTTTTCTGTTTGTTAACCTCCCCTTTCACCAGGAATCTCATCAAGATCAGCACCTATAGCCTTAATTTACACAACCAGAATAGTGCCTGAACAGAGATTGAATAGATATAAAACGGAATCAGGAAGACAATCTCAAAATAGGATCAAAAGTACTATGAATGAGAGACTGAGAGAGAGGGAGAGATCATAGTAAATGGACATGTCATCTGGTATCCAAAATGTAGAATACCGTGAATGTTTAGGACACATTGAAAGCCAGTCAAATATGAATTTTATGAACTTCACTCCCCTACCTTCCATGGTGCCCAAACCTGCTGTAAGATAGATCTCAGTCCTCCAGAGCAGCCCTTTTTAATAGGGGACATATGGTCCTCTGGAGATTCCAGGTTCATTTGAAGAGGACCACAGACTTGAAGCAATTCACACACCACCTTATAAGGTTCATTATGTGACTTATACAATCCTGATTTGGTCTATATTTCTTTCATGTAGTGCTTATGGCTGTGGCCAATATATGTATATAATATATACACTATATACAGCCATAAGCACAACATAAAAGAAATATAGACCAAATCAGGGTATGTATGTATGTATGGATGGATGGATGGATGTGTGTGTGTGTGTGTGAGAGAGAGAGAGAGAGAGAGAGAGAGAGAGAGAGAGAGAGAGAGAGAGAGAGAGAGAGAGAGAGAGAGAGAGAGAGAGAGAGAGAGAGAGAGAGAGAGAGAGAGAGAGAGAGAGAGAGAGAGAGAGAGAGAGAGAGAGAAAGAGAGAGAGACCTGCTCCAGAGAATGTTTCTATAAGACACCAGGGTGGGCTGTAGGAGAGTGGAGGATCTGCTTTCAGTGGAAGCAAAAGGATCCAGTGGAAGTACCTCAAATACTATCCTGGCAATGAAGCAAGAGTACTATATTTGTGTTATTGTGTAAATAGTGGAGCTTTGGTAAATGGGAAATCTAGGCTGCACTTGTTTCCCTCAGTCACAGTGCTCCATCCCATCCCTCTATATCTGTTGCCATGTTTTACATAATTTGAGCACTGTGGAGCCTCTTGTACTTGTGGAGTTGGATACTTATGTTTATCAAGAGAGTGCATAATTGAAATAAATAAATAAATAACAAATGAGACAGGGAAACACTTTACTACACTAAAAGTCATACTACCGCTATGGTTCCTTTGGAAATCAAACATTTGCAATTTCCTGCATAAAATGATCCACTTCTCTCAGACTAATGTGTGAAATGATGTGTAGTTATCAAATGCATTTTGTTCTTCTCCTAATATTATCGAGTTCCTGGCAATTCAAGCATATCAAAATGTACATCTAAAGGGTACTGAAATGTCAGAGTGTAGTACACTCTCCACAAATTCTGAGAAGAAAAAGCCATTCATATTGTGTTTTGAAAACATACTTAACCGTCTGCCTTTTTAAGAGGTTTTACTTGCTATAATGACAAGTTAATGGAGAAACAACAGATCAAAATGAGAGTTAAAATGCACAGTTGAGTGACATTAATAAAAAGTAAGACATATGTGCCCATTTCTAATGGTTCATGGATCATAACAATGACCTGGTACATGCACTTAACGAGCTGAAGATGACATTTGGTAAATGTCCATGCACTTTCTTGTCATCTCCAACCGGAAATAAAGAAACATGTGATGGGCATGTGACAGTATCAGACCCATTTCTCCCAATCAAGTTGACAATGATTTCTTGTAAAGCAGGAATGGAGACAATGGAGGAATCAGGAAGCCTAGGAGAACAAAGATGAACTCTGTCCATGCTTCCACTTCTACATTAAAAATTATTCTACTTAACTGATCTTCTCCCTTTTGGCGAAAAACTAGAACTCCCAAGCCATTCAGTTCTGCTTTACAGGTGATATGACACACCTGTACCTCCACACATACCTATGTGTGTATGCTCACACATCTTACTATTGGATGGTTAAGAGTAGACCTTTGGTCTAGATGGGCAGGATAGAAATCCAAGAAATAAATAAATAAACAATAAATTGATAATTTATCTATAGTCTGAGTTCATTTTTGAAAGTGAAAGATAATATCACCACCAGCATGATTTCAACATTCAACTGGAAAATTACAATCAAGAAAGCAAGATCCACTAATTGTCTTTAAAAACCTGCCTACCTGAAATGTATGTAATCTAAAAAATCATAATCACTGTTTGTATGTAGCCATGTTTTAATGCTGGAAGCTTTTCACAAAGATTACCTCACAAAGACCATGGACAAGGCCATGGATCATAGCCAAGATCCACCTGGGATCAGCATTGTGGGTGAACTGAGGATCAAACTATACAAGGACAATCATTGTTCAAACCAAAGGGTAGCTGGCGAAATAAAGTGCTATCAAATTGCAAGTTAACTGTCTCATGTAATTTGATCCTACAAGACAATGGCTTGATGCAGACTAACAGGGCAATTTTAACTCAAAGATGTACCCTCTGTAGGATTATTTATTATTTAAAATATTTTTGCCTTGCCTTTCTCCTTAAAAAGGACCCAAGGCAGTTTACAACAATTAAAATACAGTATTTATATTAGTAACAGAGTATATAATACTAAAAGGAGCATTGAATACAATACCAAAAAAAGTAAGCAAACCCAAAACACAATCATTGCAGTAATGTACAGCAATCAATTTTAAAAACTCCACTCTGCAGCCATTCATTTAGGGAAAGTTTGTCTGAAGAGAAAGGGTTTTGTGTGCTTGTGGAATGACAGTACTGATGAGGCCAGCCTAGCCTCCTGTGGGAGGGAGTTCCAGAGTCTGGGAGAAGCAACAGAGAAGGCCTTCCCCTGTGTCACCACCAAACAATCCTGTGAAGGTGGTGGGATCAAGAGGAAGACCTTGTGTAGCCTTCACCCTTGTTATGCAATAAGTCATGTATTATTCATGAGTTATATCCTAGTGTGGTTAAGAGGTGGGGCTGAAAGGGATGTTAAAAGGTGGAGCCTGAGAGAGGAGTCAGAGTCTGTGTTAGGAATCAGGGAGAGAAGGATAGTTTGGGATCTAAGAAGTGATTAGTCTGAGTGTAAATTGTGATAATAGCTATAGAAGGTTAATATTGAAGCTTGATGAATCTTGAATATTGTGCTTATGAATTGTTCCAGAAACCCACTGTAATCGATAAACCTGTTCTATTAAAAAGTCAGTATTGAATGAACCTTCATCTTTTCTAAGTAAAGTACGTTGATAAGGAGATCAACTGGTGGCAGCATGTCAAGAGGTGTTTTTGGTTTGCCTTTGTGAGCTCTGTGTTTAGTGAGAGAAACAGGGGCCGCAAGGGTGAATGCCACAGTTGGTATCCAGCGGTGGGATACGAAACAATCAAGTAAAGCCAGAGTTTGAATACAGAACCCCTGGTGAGGAAATTCTTATTAATGAGAAGTCTTATATGGGAGTTGCTGATATCTGTTCCAACATAATAGGAACAGATATCAACCACTCCCATATAAGGGAACTGAAGATGCTGGCCACAGAGACTGGTGAAACATCAGGAAGAACATCCTTCAGAATATGGCCAAAGAGCCCGAAAAACCCGCAACAACCATTAGATCCTGGCTGTGAAAGCCTTCGCGAATACACCGGTTGGGAGTTCAATTCCCCACTGTGCCTCCTACAAGTAGAGGCAGCTTTTGTAGCTTTGAGCAAGCTACACAGGTCTGGGATGTCACAGAAGAAGTGAATGGAAACCATTTCTAAGATTTCACTACCTGGAAAATCCTGAAAAGGCTAATCATAAATCAGAATAGACTGAGCAGCACATGAACAAGAAAGAAAATTAAGCCAGACAAGGATAATCACTATTGTTTTGAATTGTTTTTAACTGTTTTAACTTGCAATGTTTAATGGAACCCACTCGGAGTACACTTTGTCTAAAAGGGCGGGATAGAACTCTAATAAACAAACAAACAAATAAACAAATAAATACATAAATAAATAAATAATCCTGAGTGATTTCCTAGGCTGAGAAATGTTTGGATTCAGCACAGCTTCAACTAGCCTTGTGTAAACCCAACTGTATATTTCCAACTCTGGCCAGCTAAGATTAGGCTCTTAATCATACTTAGAACAGAACCACCCAAAATCGGTGGGACTTAACTTTATCATGGCTAACTTAAATCCTATCTATTCTGCTTTAAATACTGTATGACTAAATTTTATTTGTACTCAAAGCCAGGATATACTACCCTGGATTTTTAAGGCCGAGTTAAGATTTGCAAAAGGACTTTCTTTGACACTTGAAGAATAGAGATGAGGGTATTCATAGATGAGCACGAATATCCCAGCACAGCTGGAGTTAAACTGTATGACTATTTTTTATTTGTACTCAAAGCCAGTATATACTACCCTGGATTTTTAAGGCCGAGTTAAGATTTGCAAAAGGACTTTCTTTGACACTTGAAGAATAGAGATGGGGGTATATCCCAGCACAGCTGGAGTTAACCACTGGGGCCGGACCGTCCACTCACACATCCACTGCTGCTGCTGGCCCTGCTCATCCTTCCAATCGCTCCCAGTCAGCTAGCCACTCCTGGCAAAGGAAGGGAGGACAAGTCTCCCTGCAAGGCTGCCGAGTGCCTAGCTGAGTGGTGCTCCAGAATGACTGGAAGGAAGAGAGGGGCTGCCACCACTGCCGGACACATGAGTGGATGGTCCAACCCCAGGGCCAGACCCTCGTTAACTCCAGCTGCATGGAGATATTCATATTTGTCTATGAATACCCGCATCTCTATTCAAGAATACAGGCCTCAGAACCTCATTCATTGAGAGGAGAAACTATCAACATAAACAGAGTTTAACACCACCAAAGGTTTTGCAAAAACAAACAAAAACAAGAAAACCTTACCTAGAGAGATTATACTAAACGATATTCTGTTTAGTATCTTTTTTTCATTACGTTTCGGGCTCACCCCTGGCCTCCTTTTATCCTCATGTCTCCTGCCTTTCCCTCAAGGATCCATGACTCTGGAGTTGCTTAAGATAAGTAATATTCCTGCTGACCATTTTAATGACCTCACAATCACAGCCACAAGCACAACCAGCTCACAATGGTGCCTTTACTAGTGGGTCACAGCTATCAAAACATGAACTTTCAGTGCTACTCTGAAGTTTTTAAAGGGGAGGCACAATGAAATTGAGAAATAAGCCAGCATGAGTAGCTTCATTGAATAAGGTGTTTATCCTGAAGCAGTGCATTTGTCAAATCATGCAGGCAAAATGCTGCCTCCGTTTTCCTGCTGCTATTTGCCTGGGGCGAAGGGAAGCATTTCCCCTCTCCAGCAATCAGGAGGTGAAATAGATTAGTGATGCCATTTTGCTGACATTAGGGCAGGACTGTAAAACAATAAAAGCCTGGTCCACCCCAACCCTGGCCCCTTTCAACCTTACTGCCGAACAGCCCACCCTCCCTGTAAGCCAGCATGAAGTACTGGGGGCCTGATGGGGTTGGACAGAAAGTTTGGAACCAATATCCCCTGATTGGTATATTGAACAAAAGACATCTGGGTGATTTTTTATTATTCCATTCTGTTTCTTATGGTATTGTAGGGGGCAGATAAGAGGCAATACTGTGTATACTGTAAATAGGTAACAGCCTGGCTGGTAGTGCTGGAAGAGGGGTGGTAGCAGTGAGTTCCACAGGGTGCCATTGGGTGACTTCATCTGCTGAATGCAAATCCTGAGATTCACGTACACAGGCAGGGATGGCCCTCTGAAGCAGACCTGGGATATAAACAGACTCCATGAAAATTAGGGTGGAGGCGAGCCTGAGGATAGCTTTCCAATTGACTCAGCTGGGACAAGGCTGGCAATGTACAGCAAGGCCCCGAGGCAAAAGACTTGCCCAGTCCAGGCTGGGGAGTGGCAGGAATGGTCCCCTGCTCCTGTATCTTAGGGGAGGCCCTTCCTCAAGTTAGGGGACTAAATATGTGAATAAGAGCAAGGTGGATAAAAATCAATGATTTTTTTTTAAATTCATGGTATTTAACTCCTGAATTAAATAGAAAAAATGATGGTGGATAAAAATCAATGATTTTTTTAAATTCATGGTATTTAAATCCTGAATTAAATAGAAAAAAATGATTTTAACTTAAATATTCAAAAATATTGTGATTTATATCAATTTGATTTAAATCAAATCCATCCTGTCTATAAGCATCATAAGAAGGCACCCAATAGTGAATCATCTACTTGTGAATTAGTACAATCACCTGAATCATTGTTGCAGTCCAGGAGTGGTATCTGTATGATAAAAATGGCTTAGAAGAGTATGAGACTATGAAAATTGGGTGGAGGTGAAGGCAATGTATGTTCCTCCAGATGTTGTTGGACTACAACTGCCAGCACTCCTCACTAGTAGCTATGCTGGCGTGAACTGATGAAGAGAAGCCGTCAAAAAGTATCTGGAGGCTGCACTACACACACACACACACACACACACACACACACACACACACACACACACACACACACACACACACACACACACACACACGGGGTGTATTTTATTGGCTGCAGGTATATTTAATTCAGACACAAGCTCTCCCCTTCCTAATCCAGGAATTTGCATTACATGACTGTTAGACAGCAGTAAGAGGAGCATACAAATCTGAATTGTTCAATTGATAGAGCCTCACTGTAGGTAATCAGTGTCTGATGCTAACAGAATACAGCTTTATTAATCACTCTCCAAGCATTTGAACCAACATAAATCATGACATTCTAAAGTAAACAATGTAAGAGCAAGGGACTTCAAAGTAATGGGATTGTCCCTTGAGGAAACAAGCAAAGTCAAACTCAAAATAGCAAGGGGAAATGCATAGGACTAATTCAATACAATTTAGACTTCAGATTGGTGCCTGGTCCTGACAGTGATCTATGGCCTTTGTTGCATCTCATGCCCCATCACACTTTAATGAAACCGTCTTCCTGTTCTCAGCACTTCTTAAATTCCTGTGGGTTCCAATCATCAGTTTACTTGCTTGGTCACAAAGGAGAAAATGTATAGTGTATTTTTCAAACTCATTCAAAAACTTCAATCTGCCTCTTCAAAATGAGCCTACAAGGTTACCTAGTGCATTTTCCCTTGAATTAATAAATCATCTTCCTCACCAGTGCCAAGAGGAGACAATTGATGGCAATCAAATCAACATCTGATGGATGTTTTTCATTCCCTCAGTGAAAATGGCTAATTGGTTTTTATATCATATCAGGTTTTTTCCCCTTATTTTCCCCTGATGTAACTGATTTGCATCAACCCACTTGCTTTGGGTTGATTATAATTTAAACAATGAGATGATAACATGGCTCCCTTAAAGTTCCATTCCCAAACTGTACCTACCGAAGTGTTTGGTGCAGTAGTTCCATTTGACAGAATTGATTTTACCCATGAGAAAACCACACAGAACCCAATTTTTGCCTTGTCACTTATATGCAGAGCTGAGGTACAAGAAAGCAACAGTAGAACAACATTGACTGTGTCTAGATTCAGATACATGAAATAAAATAAAATAATAATCTTGGAACTGCAGAGCTTTAAAGGACCCTATGTATCATTGAATGAAAGAGGCATATTGGGGAATTTGAACCCCCAACTTCTGGCTCCGCAGCCAGATACCTAAACTGTGGAACTATCCAGCAGTCCTCATCTTGCTCCTCCCCTGCATAGCAGTCCTTCCACCCCCTGGAAAATGCCACATGGAGGGGTCAGGAGATCTTGCTGAATAAGGTCAACTCTATGATGAGTGGAAAAATGCAGGAATAAAAAAAAATTGAGTAAGAACCTTTCATAAGTGGATACTACTGACATTAGATATAGGGCCCAACCTCAACATACATTGTATATTTTCAGGCAGCAAATGGAATGGAACTTCCAAAAAACAGTCAAAACCTATATAGAGTATTAGTGAAACCCACCATTTTAGCATATCAAGGTACAATGTTCTGCTTGTACATTAAAAACAATGTACATTGGTCATTGTTGTGAGGCACCTTTTGGTATCTCCAACAAAAACATAAGCTACAGTTTTCCTTCTCCTCACACATACACACTATATGCTGTGCTAAGACTTGTCAGTTTTACATCTTTATTTCTTCCCATCCTTTATTCAAAGACCTGTTCCATTCCTTTTTTACTTGAATAGGATTTCTTTTTTTTTTTCATAAACATATGTATGTAAATGGCTACTCATTTAAACCTCAATCATCATCATCTAAGAACTTCAGAGTTTCCATTCCTTTTTTACTTGAATAGGATTTTTTTCATAAACATATGTATGCAAATGGCTACTCATTTAAACCTCAATCACCATCATCTTAGAATTTCAGAGCTGGAAAGGACTCTATGGATCATAGACTCCGACCTCTGTTCTTTTACCTCGTCTTGCTGTGCACAGATGGCTGATCTATTGTATTGAGAAAGATACTAAAGATACTCCTACATAGATGCTGTATATTCATCATCCACGGAGAGTCAGAAGCCTCTCCTACTTTGCATGCTGATGTCCCCATATGGAGACCAACTTGAGGCTGAAAAATGGAAGACAAAAGTGTCTGCTTTCATACAAAAAGGGCTCTTCAGAAAGTAGTTAGCCTGCAATATTTTTCTAGATCTGGCCACAGTATTTGATTGGACAAGCAATCTCCTTTAGACCTGCCAGCATGGCTCATTTTTTTGTGACCAACTTACCTGGTTTCATCCTTCCTGCCACCTCTAATTCCCTTCAAAATATTCCATTTTCTGCCGTTGCTGAAGTTTTAGACAGTAGCTTTCAAAAAATGACTCCTGGAGTTCTCTGACTACAACCAGACATTATTAAGCACTCTAATTATGTCTCTAATTAAATGCCTGCTGCCAAGAACTCTTAGTCATGAAACCATCATACTGGTATGTAACTCCATGTTTCCTCCCTGTGCTGTCACCACAAGCCACTGATAAGCAAAATCCTCTTTAGATTAAAACACTTATCATCATTCATCACCTGTCAGCAGGTAAGGCCTTCAGAAGTGTTCACATTTATTTTTCCTTCAAACCTTATTCTGTGCTTCTACTTTTCAATTTTTCCCAGCCTTTTTTTAAAATCAAAGAACGGATCCATTTTTAGTCCACAGGATCTTTCCCCCACATATACATGTACATGGAACCTTTCATAGCAATCTCACCTTTCTGCACAACCTGAACACTTTAATTTTTGTCCTTTGTTTTCAAGAAGATAGATGTACAGATAATAGACATTTTTCATCTGTATCAGCTGATGTTTTGTTGCAGACAAAAAACATATTGCTGTGTGCCAGTAACTTCCCCATCATTAGTGAGGCAAAATAAACAATAGTGGCTCAGAAATTGTGACTTGGTTAGTCAAGACCCTTTTATATACAGATATAAGAGAAAAACATTTACAGTCCTGTTTAAACAAAGCAAAACAGAGAGGAGTGACTTAGAGAAACTGAGCTAATTATTACAAACATCTAAATTCCCTGTTATAGAGGTGCAATATTTGTTATCAAAGCCACTATATGTAGGGCTAAGTATTTTGTAAATATTTATATAAATTTTAATAAAGATTCTGAGGTATTAATACAATATCAGAGAGCAAAAGTCAAATGTTATATGTCAAATATGTTAAAGTTTTATTATCATACTTATCTAAGGTCCCCAGTTAAATTTGTTTAAATAATTACCATATTTTATAGGGTTTTTTGTATACATATCAGTACTATTTCCCTTCATAGTATATTTATTATCTAAAACAACTGATGTGGGGATCTTTGAAGCTTTATACATCAAGAAAATGCTCTGAAAGGTTTTCAGGACTTATCAAGTCCTGGTCTGAAGAGGGCAGGTCTTTTTCCCTTCACTCCATCATGTTCCCATCATTCTGCTTGAATGACATATTATCTTGTAAAGATGTGAAAATCTCTCAGTTACAATTTCATTGGGTTTCTCTGATACACACCCACACCCACATTTATTCCTCATCCT